CACAATCAGTGGTGAGGGCAAACATGCCGACAGTTATCTGCAGTTGGCACCCAGCAGGCACAACACTGGACCACACGGTGACGTGTCTTCAGCCAACCAATCTAATCTAAACCTGCAGTTTACCTGTGCTTTTTATAGGGAGCACCCTGGTGTCATTGGCTGCCACAACAACACAATTACCCTGCCAGCAGGTGCAATTCATCCTGCCACATATTAATTTAGAAGTTTTTAAAGTACATTGTCAAAAATAAATCAGAATCTCTTAAATTTCAGATTCTCTCCGTGCGTCATTACGCGCGTCTGATCCACGTGCCCAGATGGCGCAGGATCCTTTTAATAATCCAAACACAAACTGCGCAAAAAGGATGTCTCTTTTTGAGATGTTCCTCACAAAAACAACTAAAAATTATTGTCTTTAGTCAGAAAAACTTTCTGAAATTAAAAGAAAAGAAGAAGAAAACAGAATTTTTCAGATCTTCTAACAATAAATTTATATCTGGATTTTTCCATCAATAAAACCGTTCTCAGTGTGAGACAGGAAGTGTTTCTCGTAGGAAACCAGGAGCTGCTGCTGAATTTACAGCTTTATTATCTGTTTAACTGATTCATCTGTCATTAGAATAAAAAGGAGGGGGTGGGGGGTTTCTCACGTTCCCACGCGCTCTTCATGAAGAKTGACATGTAAATGTTTCACAGATCAGAGAAACGTTTTAATGTGTAAATAAAGCCGGTAAAAAAAACTGATCCTAAAACAGATAAAACGGACGTTAGAAGAAAATCTGACAATGGCTTAAATAGATTTATTTTATTTTTCAAAAATAATGAAAAAGATCCAACTTTACGCGCACAGGTGGCGCCAAATACGCACAAAGAAGTTGGATTATTTTACTTTTCTTGCATGAATCAAAAGCGGAATATTATTTTTAGAAATGTATTTTTATTGATGAACCAGTTTMTCCTCACTTCACCTCCATGTCGACACGTGCCATCGACAGAAAACTGATGAAAACAAAAAGCTGAAAAGAACCAAACAGTTTATGGAGGTTCTGTTYGGGATGATGACCTTACCTCCACAAAACCTTTCGGTCCAGGGGACCCCATACCCCCACCCCGACAGGAAGCCCCTCATCCCGGAGGAAGACGCGTGCAGGGTCCAGGTGCTGCGAACAGCACGTGCCTGTTGGGTGTTAAAGGCTCGTGTTCCTCTTGTTTATGAGCTGACAAACATCCGCCAAAGCAGCAGGAAGCTGGGAGACAAACGATGGAGGTTTGTCACCTCGTTACCATGGCAACAGCAGAAACTTTGATGTCCGCGGACTGCTGGAGCCACGCCCCCTCCGACAATTTAAAACTGGATTAAATAAAGCAGAAACTGTTGGCTTCTTCAGAGTGAATTTAAAACATTTTTAATCTTACTCCACATGTTTTAGTTGAGACACTTCCTGTAAAAAAAGACCTCCTGCTGTGGATTCTGGGGTCAGGTGGTCTGGGGGGTTCAGGACCCTCTGCTCAGACTCCTGCCTGATGGCTTTCTGCTCTGAGTCTCTGCGTCTTCACAGAAAATTTATTTTTATTACACTTTAACTCTAAACTGGTTAAACTCCACAGCAGAAGTATTTGATCTGGACACACTGTGGACACTGAACACGTGTCGGGACCAGGGGGTTTCCTCTCCTCCCCCCAGCAGACTCATTTACTGATGTATCAGTTCTAAGCTCAGATTAATCCTTGTGCGCCACAATCTGTGGACGGGAACGCGCGGGAGGAGCCGCTCCAACCTCCACACGTGGGTCTGCTGCGGCTCACAGAAGCTGCACCTTTTGTTCCACGCGCGTCAAATTTATTTAGCTTCATAATAAGAGACAGAGGGAGGAGATGTTCACTGTTTTCTGTCTTTGGAGTCATTTCAGAGATTATTTTAATTGTATTTGTGGCAAGTGGTGATTTTCGGCACAACAACATTAAAGTTTGGTTGTCACTAACAACCAATAACTTTCACCCAGAAAATCAAAAGTCAAGACACACAGGTACGGTTTAGCAAAAAGCAGGAGACGTTTTCAAGTACAGAAAGTTGTTTTATTAAAAACAGAATGTGAAAGACTAAATTAAAAAAACATCTGTTCAAAAATGAAAACAAAAGAAAAAACAAACAACTAATGCTCAGCTACTGAGGCTTACCTGTAGGAGCCAACAGACCTGTTCTGGACGAGCGGCTCCCAAAGAGAAACTACAACAAACACACGTGAAACCACACTCACTCCTTGTTCCCTCCACCTGCGTTCATCACTGCAAGCATGCACACACAAAGGGACACCGCCATCCAGGTCAACCACACCATCACCGGTCCTCAGCACTGAGCTAAAAGAATAAAAACAAAATTAGAAACAGAAAACAAATACCAAAAAGACAGTTATTAATTTACAGATAAAATTGGAAAGTTGTGGTTTAGAAGTAGTCTTTCATCAGCAGAGCAACAATTGATTCCAATGTTGGATAGTAAACCTCTGCTCCCCCTCCTCCGTGGCGTGGGCGTGTCTTCGAGCGCCACACCTCAGTCAAACATTTTGTAGGAACACAGGAGAATCAAAACGAGGCAAAGCAGCAGCGGGGCTGATGGGTAAAGTTAAAAGCTGCCACCCACAATTCTGATCATGTTAATCTCATTTCTCACTTGTGGGGAGATCACGTAAGGGCACAAACTCTGGCC